GACGATTAACCTGATGTTAAGCAATCAGCGCCGCCCATGGACACCCGCAACGGATGAGTTACGAGTGCGTTGCCGACCTTTTAGGGATTAAGGTTTTGGAGATTTAGGGATTGGGGAGGAATCGGGGGAGGGGAAGGATTGGTCCTCCGGTAACCTCACTCACACGGCTAAATACAACGCAGTGGTTGATTCACGCCGCTTTTCTGTGAGGCCGTGGTATCACTCCGGTCGAGCCGACTCATTCGTGCCGAAACATGACTCTGCCACAATTTTGTTTTTTTTAGAAAAAAAACGTAGCTCCACACTAGGACTTTCTCCCGTGTCGTGGGTGCGTTAACAAACATACAGTTTCGCATACACATCACACCCAGACCCAGAACAACAATTTGTAGATCACGCAAAGAGTTGTTCCGTGCGGGAATCGAACCGGCGCAGAAGCCAGTTGCCCAGCCATCACGCCAACAGTACAGTAATCAACGATAGTTTATCGAAGTTTAACAATTTAGATTATTTCAATGTAGGCATACAAAGTAAAAGCAAAAAATATGTAACATTCTAGTTTTTTTACAAGTGCAACGTAGAATGTCATATTCCTACTCGACATTGGTTAGGAAAAATTAATTTGGTTCTCTTGTTTAGTTCGTTTTGTGTAATTTTATATATAAATATACTTTACTAGGCCCATGCTATAATACATAAATAAATAGTAATACACCAGTATTCACTCTACTGTATACTGTGCCCACAGTATACAGTAGACCTCTGGTCGCATATCAGTATGCGCCATCCGCTAAACTAATTATCACACACGAGATTGTACAAGCAGTCATCATCTTGTTCGGGCAAACAAGGTGATGTGTTGGTACTTACGATGACATTATCCAAGAAGATCGTCAAAGTCAAAAATGTTTTCCAATATACGATAGTTTCCAACTAGTCAAATTCAATACTTTTATCTAAATGTCAAAAACGATACTTTTTTTTAAACTATGAAACTCCAAATTAAGACGTCGTAGTATTTTTGGGCAAATAGCTAACTTATTTCTTAAAAATTTGCTCCAAAAATATAGAAAACTTAGTGCATCGATAGATGGATGTATAAAAGTATAGTAGTTTTTCAATATTTTAGTGTATTGAAACGTCGAAATAATTTATTTTTGACATAGAAGCTACCCAATGAAACTATGAAACATCGAAATAGTTCGTCAGTCAACTCGTTCCAAAGTGTAGATTAAAATGGAGAAAAAAAGAATATTTAGGAATGCAGCAGTAGGTATAATCGTTGAAACGTTGGAATCAATTTACTCAACACTAGCTACTCTCGCGCGGTTTCACCCGCTGCTAAGCTCCATTTGATCGTAGCGTGATGTAGCACTCAGGAACATTGTAGCTATCTATCAGTGAAAGAATTTTGGCAATCCGACCAACGGTTCCAAAGATTAGCCCCTACATACAAAGTTACAAACATACAAACTTACAAATTTTACCTCTTTATAATATAAGTATAGAAGTAAGTATAGATTACATTTTGAATACTTTACCATCTCGAACATGACGCTCACAACGCAAATGGCCGTTCCCAACGTTATAATTTATTCTACTGAAAATTAATAAATGTACTTATTAAAAGATTGACAAACATCTATAATTGGCGAAACGATAATACAGCGTTGGCTAAAATGTAAAAAATGAAATAACATACAAGGATGCTTGTCTGTAGTACAATGTTCAATCGTCGGATTATTTATTTGCAATATCATCCCAGTAAGTCTTTGAAAATAATAAATGTGTTACTCACGGCCGCTATAAACACTAACAAACTGCTGTTATATGCATTGTAACAATAAAATACTTAAATAAGTAATCTTCGGGATCATAATTATCGGGTTTTACATAGTTTAGACAAAAGAGTCGACCGTTCCGAGAAACTACTTGGGAAACTGATGTTCCACTCAAGCGGTGAGAAGTGCGCGGTAAGTGGCGCGAGATACTTTAACCAAACAAATCGATTGTAATTACGAGAACATCTCTCGAGCGATCGAGTCCGCTGAGGAATTACTCGTACACTGTGTGTTTGCAAGTTTCCATTGACAGAGCACTTGAGTGCCGGCCATTTGTTTAACTATTGTAGAATTTCCGACTTGTATGAAGTTAAAGAGAATTGTAAGTAATTATAAACTATTTGGGAATTCTGTGTCGTGATGTATTCACTAGATGTTACTGCGAGGCGAAATGAATCATATCCCGTGACGTCACGTCGCGTCACTCGGCTCGCTCCGCGCTGCAGGTACCGTTACGTAGCATGTGACAACACGTTCCCATCTTTGATGGATAAAGATACTATCTGATAATATTTCATAATTGGAATTAATATTCTAGCCAAAAGTAATCAGGTTAAATCATAAGGTCATAAGCTTTTGGCGTCGCCGTGCATAGACAAAAACCTATTTTAACGTCACAAAACCTATATATACATACATCGTGCGAGTAAATTTTGCAAGCAGATAAATTTTATGGTATATCTGAATCCTGTACTAGGTACGTATGATATCTGCTTGAGCCTCCAACTGCGTGGAATTCAGATTTATTTTTCAAAGATCTCAATCCTGTACCTACTATGTAAAAATAAAAAAGATACAGTTAATCTTGTGTTTTAAGATCCTTTTTTCAATATAATAAGTGTGGAAATGGGTCGGCTTGACCGGAGTGATACCACGGCCTCATAGAATACCGACGTGAAACAACCACAGCGTTGTGTTTCGCCGTGTGAGTGAGGTTACCGGAGGACCAATCCATCCCCTCCCCCGATTCCTCTCAAACCCTAATCCCTAAAAGGTCGGCAACGCACTCGTAACTCATCCGTTGCGGGTGTCCATGGGGGGCGCCGATTACTTACCATCGGGTAATCCGTCTGCTCGTTTGCCGACCTATTCCATAAAAAACAAAATATCAGTGTATTTTAAGATGAAACACAAGACTAAAAGAAAGGATTATCATCATGGTCACCTCATCCCGAGTGGGCTCGTCCACTCGTACGATCTTAAGGATTCCCCCGACCTGACGTGAGTCACGGGGCACTGTAGTCACTCCACACATGACCTGACTGTCTCTAATTGAAGACTCAACATTCGACGAACTAAACTAATTACTTGGTAGCCGAACACAGCATCCCGCCTGTGCCATCAATTCATTTAGAGAACAAATCATGATGTGATTTGCTGGTGTATGACATGGTGACATCAGACTTGTTCTTGTCGAGTGTGTAATTGCACTTTATAGTGTGTCACTGGGATTTGGGTAACAGATTTTTATATCTTCTCAGTATTCAATTTAAATATTTGTATAACAAAGATTGTACACACTGTGCAGTAGGCGCAGGGCCGACAACTGGCTACGTTTATGTATCAAATCAAATCAAAATCATTTATTCCTACTACTTAAACAATAAATAGAGATTATTTAATGACAAATGCAATAGTAACATTTATTTTGAAAATGAATAAAAATGAAGTCAGTCAGTGTTAGTGTCTCGTACACTTCGCCACTGAAAGACTCGCCTACGATGATATTCTGTATGCGCATGCGTCTTAATTTTTGATGACGTGACCATTTCCACGGCACCTCCAAAACAAACATGTCCGCTATCCCACTAAACATAAAAAGCTTTCACAATCCCTATATCGTAGCAGAGGTGTCGATGCGTGCGCCGCGACACGTGCGCGCGCGCATCTAAAGCCGGTGATATATGGCGGTACTACACTAAATCATGGCCAGCCCGTGGCCCTCTCCTGCGCAAGTTTGGCAGTTAAGGTGCATTGCATCTAACGCGGCTACTGATTAAATAATTTTAACCTACTTATAGTATATCACAAATACCAAAGTTTGTAAGTGTGTAAGGAAAGATAGATAATATTTGTTACTCTTTCACGGCAAATTTTTCTAAACATATTTGCTTGAAATTTGGCACACAGATAGATGGAAGCTAGTATTTACACTTAATCGTAATTAGCACGAATGTTCTAAGGTTAGTCGTATTTTTTGTGTATCGTGGTTCCCTAATGAAAGCATTTCATCTCAGAAACTAATGTAGTCAAACCATGTAACCTTCTATCACATTTAGATAATTTCGAATGTCAACCCGGTTAAATATTTTATAATTCTTGTCTGTTACGTGTCTTCATAAAGACAGCCTCGTGCCTAAACTGACTACAAATACATACATATATTCCACTCACTCCTGCATCGCAGCATGTATACGCCATGCGGAGGCTGACGTTTATAAATCGGCTTTCTCAGTTGTTATCCCATAACCGATAATTACGGTATTTGAACCTACATCAGACGTTCCAAAAAAAGGTAGAGTTGGGTTGTCTCCTTAAGGGCGCCCGTGGCAGTCGTGGCTGGCGTCACGTAGGGCTCCGGCCACGAAGCGAAGGTGAGCTGAGATTACCATAACGTGCTACATACCTCGGCATTAGAGAGCCCACACAGGTACTTCATGCTGCGTTCTGAGCTTCTGTTGATTTTTGGACATTCTCGAGTGCCTTGCGGTGAATTGCTTTACTTGGGTTCGCGCTTTCTAAACCTAGTGGTGAGTTGTATATTATAGACCACCAAAATATTTCAAGTTACATATTTATAATAAAAAACGAGTGTATTTTTAAAACTAATTTATTTATCGAGAATCCTAATAATTTGTCAAATGTTCCTTATTTTTTCAGATCGTGGTGGTATGTGGTGTGAGTAACATTAGGTATCTAGTACATGTAGGTAGACATATACATCGAGTATCGGTCCGCTAGGCGGCGGTAGAGGACCTATTCAATGTACGCAACCTGTTCCTAGTGCACACAATCCCGCGGCACCTTTTATTTTTGTTGCACGTGCGCCGACGCAGCGGTATGCGTAGGGCTTCCGGTGCGTCACGCTCCCACGACCCGCACTCAGCTCCAATGTGCTGAGCGCCATACATCGCCTGCCGCCACCCTCTTACATAACACATGCCACAAGCTCGCGCCGCAGTGGTGCTGCAACACTTCGCATATGCATCTGTGGAATGTCCGGACATGCAGCCAGCCTTTAGTTTGCGAACTTCGAACTGGAATGAGGTACTCGAGCAGACCACGACAGCTTGCACTCCTGCTCTTAGGTGCGGTACATTGCAGAGTCGTGGAGAACTTTGGCAGATCGGCACACCGGCGCTGCGTATTGTAGATGCAAGTGTTTATGTGTTTGACGGGTGTGTGGCAGTGCGCGGCGCGAGTGGTAGAGGCGCGACCCAAATCTGTGCAGCAGTGTCATGTAAATGTGACCGCAGCGAGTGGGCGCGCCGCGATAACCTTACGACAACAATGCGAACAAACCCGCGCCGGTTCCGTGGAAACACTCGACACTGCCTCACGCGGCATGCTAACTAGCGCCGAGGACAAATTGGCAGAAAATGTTTATCAGTCGTAAAAATCTGAGATGTGACATAAAGTGCTGCATCACCAAGTTCCACTTCATACTTTTAATGAAAGGAATCGACAAATAACGGTCCATCTTACTATGAAAAAATAACGCAATTACATTTACACCATTTTTAAAACCTTTTCATGTATTGTCCATTGATACTCAATCTCTTACATAAATCAATATGATTCAATATATGTTATCATTATATGTATCATCACTCTGTTTATAAGATATGGGAGGTGTCTGTCTAGCGCGTGTCTGCCGCGTTATCTCGGCGTCTGCTCCCCGATCTTTGGCACATCACACCTGTCGCCGGCGGAGTGACGCTGTCTGCGTCACCTGCGGCCTGTGGACATTATATCGAGATGTAAAGATACCTGATTGTACTCGTATATAGGTCACTGACATTGAGTGTCAGTGACCTATATACGATCGCATCGACGCATCTACCTACTTTTTATTTATATTTACACATACACAAGGTAAATTTATTTCATTCTACACGCAGGACCTATTACTACCACAACCCCAAAACTATAACTAGCAAAACATACAACATACGAGTGTTAAAAACCCGACTGAGTAATGATAGTGTTTGCACAGCCCTTACCTAGGTACGATGACGAAGACACGACTGCAAATTAGATAAACTCGAGCTAGATATACAGATGTTATGATATATGCAAATTGTGACATCAGCGTGACAAGTGAGGGAACAATGGGTGTGTCACGCGGCGGCGGCTTTGCCTAGATCATGGTCGCAGATTTCGCGAAAATGTCGATGCGTCAAGCGCGGTGGGCGGCGGGCAGCGTGCGTGCGAGTAGGGCTGCCACCGACACGCACCAACCATTCGACAACGTTACTTGTGATTTAGTGAGGATAAAGTTCAACGTATCCTACATGCTTAGTTATGGTACTTACATGTCGCATTCATTATGTAACCCATAATGAATGCGACATGTAAGTGCTGTAACTGTGTACAGTAAGCTGAGCTTTTATACAAGGTATCACAAATTACTCAAACTATGATTACCTTAATAACTAATTTAGAAATAATAGATTTGTTTTGCAATGACAATGTTTGCGCTTGATAAATGTGTCAGCCCTAGGGTCGCGCAGGCGCATTGATGAAATATAGTCCGCTACGTTACGCCCCGGGAATGGAAAATAGATCAGGTGTGCCGAGTGCGCGCGCGCAGAGATCCGTGATGACTCAGCACTTGGGCAGCCTTATTGCTAGCCTGGGAACCGACCTGAGTCGGAGACAATTTGAAGTTACAAGAAGATCCAATGTGGTAGTGGGTGTGGACGACGAGCGCCCTAGCTTCGAGGTACTAAATCTCTCTTGATACTTGATCTTACATTAAGAATGATAGATCTGTAGTAACTAAATACAGGAGACTCTGAATACAAAAGTAAGGCGATAATTATAACAAAATAACAGAAAGATACATTAACAATTATCATTAATTTTATATGAGTGGTTTAACTTATTATGTATTCCTAATACATGATAATATCTTTATCAAATACTCCGGTATTTTTCACACTTCGAGATAACATAACAATCTTAAAATCAACAGCGTTGAATATTTCCTGAAAAGGGGCAAGATCTAAGTAGGCTCGAACCTGGAAATGGAAGCCTCGAATGGAGCAATTTACAACCTAAGGCTTCGCGAATCTCTTAGAGATAAATTTAAAGAGATCAATATTATGACTGTGCCCGGTCAGATTATTTATGAAAATATAATGTATGTTAGGAAACACTTAATATTATTTGATAAGGTATCAGACAGACATAATTACCAAACTAGACATAGAGATAGATTGTGTCAGCCATTATTTAGATTGGCAAAGGTACACAAGTCGTTCATGGGATTCAGCGTTAAGTGTTATAACAAAATCCCAGGCGAAATACAACAATTAAATGAAAGAAATTTTAAATTATGTATAAAGAAAACTTTGTGTAAAAAAGCATATTACAAACTGAGTGATTATATTGAGGATAAGGATGCTTGGAGACGGGCTGGTCCTGCTCCACAGGATAATATACCTACACGAATATAAATAATGTTCCAGTGGATCTTTGCTTGAACGGAAGTTCTTAGATTTTGTAAATTTGTAACCATGCTATTTTTATTGTTAAACTTGATAAATTTGTAAATGTGAGTGCCCTGTAACCTATTAAAATTAGTTAGACTATCAGAATGTCGGTCCATATGTCAGCTTGGAGTTGTCATGCTCACTCAAAGGTCACATTGGCGGTGGCACGGTCACTGGATCGCTCGATTCCCTATATTATGGTTGAGTTAGGCGATGCTGGTGTACGTGTCATGCTCGTGAACGGGCGCCGTCAATTGGGACTGGTCAGCTCCGGACTGTCTATTGTCCTTAAGGTTATTTTCTTTTTATGTTTCTCTGTATACACGCGTTACACTGTTCTCACATATTCAAACTAACTAAATAATGTATCAAAGAATGTTTATGTGACACTGATTTTAAAAGAGTAACCATGGAGTTTCTTGCTCGTTCTTCTCCATCGGAATCTACACTTTGGAACGAGCGAATAGCTTCACTAAGAGGACTGACCGACAGACTGACACTTTGTATCTTTAAAGTTGTGTTGACGTTCAAAAGTGCCTGTATGGGTCTAATTGAAATAAATAATTTTGGCTTTGACTTTGACTTTGAAATCTACCAGAGTCATACTGAAGGAATAGGATACAGAATATACTTAGAACATCAATTATAATTATTTGCGATGATACAATCGGCACACGACACCTCACCGTTATTCATTACTTACTAGGAATACATATGACGTCCACGTAACTTACACAGACGTCAAATTCAGGGACCCCGGTACTCCGACCACGATGACTGATCACTGAGCCATCTCGCGCCTCGTCCCGCCGGAGACGGAGCCCCGACATGTCTTTTACGGAAGTGTTGCTAACATTTCGCTGAAATACTTCGCTCGGCGGCTCATCTCCGACCCTTGCATCACGGTAGGTAGGTTGGGGTTCAGACGCGGTGACGTCACCCCAAACGTACATACATTACCCCGTACGTACATTAACTATTTACAAGTCATTATGAATCAAATACAAGTCAATCACACCGTGGGAACATTTTTCTTTAATAGTTAGTTTTTACAAATATTTCGTCTGCACTATGAGTCGGCAGCAGTGAGACCTTGAAGTTTTTGATAAACTATAGAATCCGACGTTACTTTGCGGAAATCCATGACGTTTAATGTTATGAAAAATATCTAGTTTTAATTTTGCGACAAATATCCAGGCTTGTTGTAGGATGCAGTCCCACCCTATGCAATGATGCATTTGCACGAGATGTTAAATGTTGACTCGACATACAATCCTCCGCGAACCGAGCGCTTGTGTGAGGCCCAATTGTTGCCCTTGCCTTGACCTCCCGAATCACCAAATCTCATAATTCTAAAAACCCTAAACCGAAACCGCCAACGCACTTGTTGATTACCATCGGCGACGACGACTATCTATCTACTATTTAACTTTTTGCAAATAATTGTCTTCATTTATAATTTTGTTCTTTTCAAAAGTGCCTGTAAGGGTCTAATTGAAATAAATGATTTTCTCTTTCCCGACTTTCCATACCTCTCACTTTCCTCACAAACCCTGATATAGTAAAACTATCAAGAGTGCTATAAATAAAGAGATTTGATTATGGCTCACTGATCAAAGTGTCATTCTATAGCGCCGCGCCATAGCTTTTAGCGCCAGGTTTTACTATATAATATTACGTAGAATAAATAAATACACGCTATGTGAATTACTCGTACATGTCGTGTGGACATAGCCAAATATTATTTATAATGAGTGCGCGTGTGTGTGTGTGCGTATACGTGCGGTCTAGCTCTACCCACACATATAACGTGCGTCGCTACGAGCCGCGCGAGCCTGGTATATTATACCCTGGATGTTTATTCAAATATTAGCAACATTAGCGGCTACAACTAAATTGAACGAACATATATATCATAATCATATATACTAACTATCATTTTCAACACACTTCCTCATAAAGTGGTTTTAATCCCATAGCAATTAGGCACACAATGACACCTGTAATCTAACTGTGACTTTTTCATTACTGTTAGCCACGACTGAGTAATACAGTTCTTTTTTATATTATTGGTTGTGTTAAGCTAAAATGCTACCAGCAAAAATAGAAATCTTATTTTTTAGTCTATGGCCGACGCACGCATAGGAGAGACTGATTAATTTTCCCGCCATTTCAGAACATTTTTCACAACACGTCTCGTTTTCTCTTTTGAAGTTATTAAGTACCTAAGTTATTAATTAAGATGTTTGCGAATACCAAGTATTATATTATTCCGAAGTGTATTGCAAAACGTCCGCATTAAGACCCTCACCTGACGGTCCGGGCCTCAGCGGTAATCACCAACATTACGCACTTGTACCATACTGTACTATTATTTGATATTTACCTTAATTATCTGTTACTAACTATATCAATGAATAGCGCCACTAAAATTGTAGGTAATATCCAAACTAATATTATAGATGCGAAAGTAACTCTGTCTGCCTTTTCTTCACTCCCAAACTAGTAAACCGATTTGTGTTTGGTGACAGACAGACATAGTTTGGAACTCGAAAAAGGACGTAGGATAGTTTTTAAACCATAAATCTGCAGAAAGTCACTATTAAACGTGGACAAAAGCTAGTACTAAATAGTTATTTCGTTAGATACTCGGTGTTATTCGCACAAAACCCACCATAACAGCACAGAGCAACCTTGGCCGACCAGTCAGTGATGCTAAGGACCGGAGTTTACCGGCCGCCGCCACCACGTTGCTCTATCGTCACTACCTGGCCACAGTGACGTCATCGTCACGACCTGTAACCACCGTGACGCCGGCCGCCTCGCTATGCTAATGACAGTTTTTGCTGCGAACATCTTCGGTTTAAGTATTAACATCTATAAATAGATTAAAAACCCAACTATGTAGGTATAACTGGTTCGTACTGGTTTATCATACGCAATCGTTATTACATCTGTATGATCACGTCACGTGACGTCACGGAGTTGTTTACTATTACAATGTGAATATATTAATTATAATAATTGTTGTTTTATGTTATGTGGCACGTCACGTGTGTCCGGCCCAGCTCTAGCATCACACCAATCTCGAGCTACGCAAGTTGCCTGCGCATGCGCACAAGCTCGTCCTGTTTCAATATACTTACTATAGTACAGGCAAACTAGTTTTATACGAGTTATGTTATTTTTATCAAAATTGAAAAATATGTGTAAAGGTCAATGTGAAATATTTTTAGCTGTTTAACTGGAATTTAATCTATAAATGTACATTTATATAAAAATTAATCGCGAAATGTGTTGGTAATCGCATAACACAACAATGCCTGGACGAATTTTGTTAATAATTTTTTTGTTGTGTTTGTTATTGTCAGGAGAAGGTTATTATTTAGAAAAATATAAGAAAAGTAATGGGGAAAATTGGGAAATAGCGAAAAGTGCGAAGCGAGGACGGGCCGCTAGTATGAAATATAAATTACGAAATTATGTTTCTAAACAATACTTAATTTGTTATTATTTTGAGTCAAACAGTACCTCCGGGCAATAGTAAGAGGTTGCTAGTTGCTGTCTTTGAATCTCCAACATGAGTGACAGTACATCACCATCGGCAATGCAAATAACAGTCTATGACTCTTGAGCCTAGAGGTTCTCGATAACCGATCTTATTCCGAAACATCTAGGTCGATTTTAATTATTGACAGAAACTTCGTTCGATTATGTAAAAAGTTGTTATCGAAAGACTTGGAACCTGAGGCTCTAGTCATGGAGTGTCAGCACAAGCCGCGACCTTGCGCCCGCGCACCGACCTCGTGACTCACGCAGCCACGACCCACCATTGCCCATCTGCAACTTCATCATATCCACAAAAAATCCTCCGAAGTCCATTCTGAAATTGATGATTATGACTTATTACGAACATTGTGTAATAGATGTATAATATTCAGATGACTTGTTCGTGTGGAATTGTGAACAAACAAATTGATCTGGTGGTAAACAATCCGAGCCTCCCGGAGATGTAAGGGCGTTGCCGACCTTTTGGGGGTGAGATAGTTAAGGGATGGGGGATCTAGGAATTGTAGTTGGGTGTGAGGGAAGACTGGGCATTCTGAATCTATAGTAATATTATAAAGAGGTAAAATTTGTATGTTTGCAAGTTTCGATGTAGGGGGGTAATCTTTGGAAGCGCTGGTCGAATTTCCAAAAACTTTCACCGATAGATAGCTACAATATTCCTGAGTGCTACAGGCTATAAAACATCACGCTACGATTAAATGGAGCAGAGAGCAGCGGGTGAAACCGCGCGAGAGTAGCTAGTATAAAATAATTTGGAATTTCACTGAAAAAAATGTAATCATAATAATGCCTTATGTTTTATACACAATGTGTTTAACTGTAAATAAAACATCAAAATCTACAGTAAATGTTGTGTCGAAATAAATCTACCACAGCTCGAGAATGTTGCCGGTCCAAAGTCCTTTATCATACCGAGCAAAGTCCGTGCCTCGCGCCGCACGCACACGCTGGCAATTACAGGAACATAAAGTGAAGATATCCCAACCATTACTGCAACAACCTTGTGGTCCAACGACCCAACAATTTGAATGTGCCAGGTGTGAACGTGAGTGCTGACTAATACTAGGCATAGCCCGACATCGACTCATGCGAATAATGCGACATTTACAACCCAGAGCGATGCGTGGACTACATACTAATAAGTATAACAAAATAAAGTAAAAGTTTATGTAGGTACTACGAAAGCAAACGTCAATACTTGACTGCAATAGAAATTGTCCACTAAGTACGCCTGCAGTGTGGTCAGCTCGATGTGAGATCGCGTCGTAAGTATATATTAGGTGTTAATTGTAAAAACTGAATGGTTTTGATTTCCCTAACTTGTAAACCACAAGCAAAAACGATTCGACTCCAAACAAACAATGTTCCATCGCCGCTCCTCTGTTTGGTTAACTATACCCAGTTACCGTGATATCATTATTTGTTCTCACACGGAAATTTAAACCGCAACCCTGAGCGGAGGAGCAGGCGCGCTCACTGCCACTCCACGCCGCTGACCGCACGCCACTTCATTATACCCACTACTGATGTTAAGTAAACCACAGTCCGGTTTAAACCTGATCTTAAGTAAGGTTGGAAAAAGCCACCGAGACTCGCGCTACGCGTGCCTGCGGTCACCTTACCGGCCATCGGGTACTGACAGGCTGGTCTTACAGTACCGCAAGCACACGAGTACATCACAACCGCCTGGAAAATTTAAACAGCACTAATACATACCTATGTATTAATATAAAACTTAAGACAAGGAGTGCTGAATGTTTATTGTATTTCGCGAACTCGGCCGGCATCGGGCCCGCCGGCCGTCGTAATGAGTCGGTGCGTGCTCCACTACGCCTAACTGCGAACGCCTACAACCGAATGATTAACACCTGTATACAAACACTTCTTAACGAGCTATATATAAAAAGTATTGACGTGACACGTTTTCAGTGCGCGTGTGTACTCCCTCGGGCGCAGTGAGTGTTGCAGACACAAGGTACGCGGCTCGGCCGGCTGATGTAATCCATACAGGTTAGTGATTTACACAAGGAGTAATTAAATTTCACGCAGTAATTAAGAGTGTAGCGCCACCATCACACCACTGCTACACCCCCCCCCCCTCCCCATACATTCCACGAACCTTTTTAGTAGCACAATGATCACGCGATGCCCTACCTCGGTTCACTGCGCGCTGCGCACACGCATCTGACGCAAAATTCGCAACTTGTTGCATTGACCATACGAAGAACTCAAATATAACGAGGTTGTAATTGATCGTCCGATTTTTTAATTAAATGTTACACTTTAAAGAGAAAACAAAATGTGGGAGAGCCATGCGTCGCCACGAATGAGTCGGCTCGACCGGAGTGATCCACGGCCTTACAGAAAACCGGCGTGACACAACCACGCGAGAGAGCGGTTACCGAAGTCCTAATCCTTTACCTACTCTAACACCAACATTTTCTAAACCCTAATCCACATCAGGTCGGAAACGCACTCGTAACTCCTCCTTTGTCGGAGTATTCATGATAGCGCTGATAGCTTACCATCAGGTAATGCGTCAGCTCCGTTGCCGTCCTATCAAAAAAAAAAAAAAAAAATCATGACGAGAAACAATTGGACGAATATAACGGACAATTACTTAACAAGGAATAGTTGTCAATAAGTTACGCTACTAAGTGACCATTGTTATTGTATTTGACACTTCTCGCAAAAATACCATTCCTCACGCGAATTCTAACCCAAATGATAAATAATATATATGTATAATAATAATATTAGAGTTTGTGTCTGCCATTCACAAGAGAATGTAAGTAGCCTTTATTTACATTGATTAACAGCTTTATCGTCTCGTTCTAGACTGGACGTAGAATTTCCAATTATGTACCATGTATCATTTTAATATTATTTGAGATAATAAGTTCTACGTTTAGTCTCCTTACAATCAACAATACCTGTGTAATTATCTTAAACAAAACGTAAATCGTCTCTGGAACTTTTAAAAAGGTTTATGTTGTCGTGATGGTGTGTTTTTTATTTATTTATGATCTTTGACCACCGTAAGCGCGGGTCTGTGGACGGTGAGTACGGGTAGCTCGCCGCCCGACCAGAACCAGACCCGAACGGCCGGACGGACTCAAAGAGCCAATAGATTACAGACGGGACCCTATAGGGCTGATGTTCACCCCAGATAAGCGCAATGAGTCACCGCGGCATCGGCCCAGTGCAGGAGAAGGAACAGGGGGGTGTTTAGTCAGTAAGAGTCTGACGCCCAAACCCTGGACAGGAGAAGTCGTTTAATGATTTTCCTTTCGCAAAAATAAGCATTTACCATCAGGTGATGCGCTTGACTTTTTTGCCTGACTGTGGGTACAGCACGCGGGTCATGCGATGATTCTTTCACCATAATAACTCTGTAGATTAACTTTATGCTCGATTGCCAATCGTGACTAAAGTTTAAGTCTCCCATCGATTCTCAAAACCTACTTGCAATCTTATTATGAAGGTACGAACACCAAACTAAATTATGAGTAGTAGAATTGGAATACGCTTAGGTACTTACTTAGTCGTTGCTGGAAAATTAAAACCTAGTTGTTAATTTTCCTCTGAAACAAAAATGAATGATCCTCTGTTAAACACTACAGTTTTAGATAGCGACGAAACACTACGATGGTTTCTATTTTGTGACGGTCTGATAGACTTCTAAGATATTTTACATATCGCTTGAAACTCACTTGTGGTTTTACCGAATTCAAAAGTTTACCAATAGTCATTCGTAATATAAAAAACAGATCGTTAATCGTTATAATATTATGTTATAAGTATAGAACAGCCATTCTTCCGTGTTAGTGTGAAAATCGGCGTGACACAACCACAACGTTATGTTTCGTCATGTAAGTGAGGTCACCAGAGACCCAATACTTCTTCCCCTTCTCCAAACTGTCCCAATCTCTAAAGCTACAAAACCTTAATCCCCAAATGGCCGGCAACGCACTCGTAACTCCTGTGGTATTGCGGGTGTCCATGGGCGGCACCTATTGCTTACGAACAGGAAATCTGTCTGATCATTTGTCGTCATAAAAAAACAATTGGGACATCGTGATACACGTTAACTTTATTATCATCTACCAAGAAAAGTGTTATGTTTTTCGTTAAAGCTTAATTAACCCAATGTACCTATCATTCATTCTATAGTCAAATATATTCGTTTATACTTAAATTTTGTCCGTGCAAAATTTGTATGAGTATACCGGCGTGCAGGCACTAGTATTGTGACACAGACGTGTCGTGTCGGCGGGCGCGGCGCCACGCAGTCTGCGCGCGCGCAGTTCCACTCACGCGCGCGCCTGCAATTAGTGCGACAGCGCACGCTGCCGGCGACACTCGGCGACAAGTGCAGCCGAGTGTCGCCTTGCTTGTTGCTAGGCCGCGTCACTGCACGTGGCCTCGCTGCAACGTACATGCGACCTCCGCGGACGTTCGTCCTGTCGGGGACGCTCACGGAGTCACGGTCAAGGCTACCGTCACAAGCTCATACACCTCTCCTGCTTCTGACTCACTTAGTTTATCGGCCCACATTAGAGATGAGGATCAATACTGAGAATGTGTTTTTATCTCTGTCTCTGTCTAATTATTCATTCTGTGCAGTCACTGGTGTAATATGATTCGAATGAAATAGTTTAGGATATATATAAATATCTAGGTATACCTATTACGTGCGACATTAGCGTTATCCTTGTATCGTTCATTCATAAGGTGTTGAGGAAAACAAGTCAGCTGCTCGGTAGGTATTTAATGAAGTGATACTTATGGCGGAGTTACGAGTTGCTTTAACGGTAAATACGTACTTCATTCACAACAAACCGCTAATGTTGCAACGTCGTGTTACACAATATTATTATCTAGACGAGTTATATTTGCATTGATGCCCATAAAAGCTTGTATGTCGATGTCAAATCATATATTTCAAATAGTTGTTATAATAAGACACTTTTAAATTTTAAAGAAAGTGATAACACTTTCTACCCTGTTATCTTTGTCCTGTAAGAGGCCAGTAAATCAATTGCGCCCATCATTGTATCACAAGTATTCCACACAAACTATGGGCCGTAGTTGAGGAACCCTGAGCAAATAACGGGACCTTATTCGTGACTAAAGATGATAATAATAGTATTATTTCAATACGTAGGTAGTGATCTACTACAGATCATTTGAGGAAATGTAGTATTAAACATGAAAGAGAAAAGGTCAAGGCATGTGAGTCAAGCTTGTGTTATGCACATCCACGGTAATCTTCCAGCATCACAGTTACAGGAAAGTCAGCGGAGAAACCTCGTCGACTAATTAACGGCAGGAATGGGCTGAATGGGATGCCCCACAGAGACTGAGTATACACCACTCCCTCGTACGTCGCACGTAAGGGGAAGAGGTATCGGACAAAATATTAATTGATTTTTCGGTTCACGGAAATTGACAATTAATATTAGCTAGATTACATACAACGCTTTGCATACCTACGTGGTGATAATTACATTTATAACGCTTGATAAGTATGTAAACACTCTCTTATTTTACCCCATTAGTGTTTAATTCCAGCGATAAGAACGCTACTAGGATAGGTAGCATATTTTCTAGCTGCTTTGTATACCAAACTTGCCGGTGCTCGGTACCCATGTTGGTATATATTTACGTACATAGATGTCACACTCAATTGTTTTATTTATACATTTCCAATCGTTTAATAGTATACTCGCCCAAATATATCAAATTATTCTATAAAGTTAATCATTTAAAAAACTTATTATTAAGTTATTTATTTCATTGCTTAAAAACCCAACAAAGTATGACGTACCTACATTTTTGTTAACATAACAAGAAATCAAATTTAGTCAGTTTCCTGCACCTTGAATAGTAAAATCTGACGCACACGCAATCGTTTGTGAGGAGTTCCACACATTGTAGGTACAACGTGCTCAATCACCAGGCAAAATACCCAATTATTCACAGTTCGGAGAAATGGAATAACAAGGCATTATTAGATGCACATAGCAGAAGATATGCAAGTATAGCTGAGATAACACTTCTCCGTTCCTTACCTCCTCATCATCATCATCCAATGAGTTTTCTCGCCCAGGGTATGACGAGAGGGCATGTCAGACTCTTTCTGAGTGAAAATCTTCCCGTTCCTGCCCCAGGCCGAGGCCACGGTTTTATTGCGCTTGCCCCGCGACCCGGCTTGCTGACATAGGTACAATCTGCGACACTGTTGGCAATGACCCTCATAATTGACCGAGTGACACCGAGCCGAAGTAGCAATCTCGATTTGATTGAATCATACGACTGCCCCACTGTCGTATGAATGCACTAGTTACCTGGACCATTTTATTCTACTTACTATATGCTCTGCTGTATAATGAAGTATGTTCTTTCTCTCAACTCCAATTTATATAATTGTACACCCTGTATGAGCAATTTTGTAACGGTTTATGGAAATATGTTAAAGGTAACAATAATTGTACTTTCCCACATTCGATAAATTTCAACGAAATGCATATATGTAGATGAAATTATTAGTTCAACAAACTGGAAAGTTGCATTTTTCCAAGCATATCTCTATAGGCCTATATCGCCGAACTCCGAGGAATATTAATGGAATAACAGGATAATTTAATTTATTTATAAAGCTAAAATATTTTAAGAAATGAGTAAACCTTTTCACCTGTATTATGAAACACAGGTACTAATGTAATGTTGAAACCTACACGGAGAAATTATACATAAGTCAACCATAAAACTTTTTATGGAGATTTGGGATGGGGGTATCTTGACCAAATAATCGTACCAATATTACCTATTCAATACTATTCACACGCTGCTCCTTGCAACTTAAGACCAGCAATCAGAACATCATAAACATGAATGCCCAATTAAAATAATTAAACACAATCCCATGCACAAATACTTACTAAGTCTTAATATAAGCAGCTGAGTTGGGTCTAGTGGACTATTTTACAAAATAGTCGCGTTGCGCACGCGCATTATTATGGAGATCGCGTGGTTTGGGGGCTTCCTGCTGGTAGACCGCATGATGTCAATAGCTATATAACAATAATGGCAAAAGAACCTCTTTTGAAAACGCATCGTATCTGGCCTATGTTCTTCAGGATCGTGGTTAATCCGAAGTCAGCTTGTTTAAGCTTGGACAAGCTACATGCTCTGGAGCTTTCAGTCACACTTTCCTACTTGTATAGAAGTCGTTGTCTCCGCTGATAGTGGTTCTTCTGTGTAACGTCACTTCATAGTGAAGAGTGCGTACGTGCGCTTGATGGCGCATGCGCATCGTCCAAATTTTCGAAGCCATGACAGAGCAATAACCTGCTCACGTAGCACACGGGACTATTTGACATTAACGAGCCGCCCTCCAAACACCGCGTATTGTGTCACTAAGTTGCTCTGCAGCTCACTACTAAAGAAATAAATAACTTCTAAGATAACAATATCTGTTGATGTTACTGATTATAGAGCAACTTTAATAACTATCTCCTGTAGCGGTATGTAAACTAAAGTTTACTTGTGGCAAAAAAACTACAAATCAGTAAGACACATTGCCAACAAGTTGCAAAGTAACCAGGGTCTTGTCACAGTTTGCATTTTGCTGTCGATAAAAGGTATACTTACATAGTTCCTAAATCGCACACTGATGTGTTCGTTACGTGCACAAAAATTCTGTTTGCACAACATCCGAGAAAACCAAAGTGGAAAACAGAGTAATTAAAATAGAAAAATGAAGTTTGTCTTTAGAATGTGTGTCTATGTAACATTTTACCTTGTATCACGCGATATAATCTGATTAAGAGCAAAAAATGTCGTGCGTGGGTAGTGATGCTAACTAGACATTTTCCTTTTGATATTGAGCAGGGAGAGCCCCGTGTGGTGTGATGAGCACACCTATGTCACCACCTCGGTGCCAGCAGTGACGTAAAACAAAAAGACCACACGTCATGAATAAAGCTGTGACGGACTGAGACCGGTTTATTTATTTGTGTCAAGACGAGAATACATCATCTCGAGAGCGCGGCGCAGCGCCGGCCATGTTTACACAGGTTGCATGCCAATGTTGAAACATTACAATCATAACACGACTCGCGGGTACTCGCTCTGCTAATCCGAAGACTTGTTTTACATAAAATATGGCGCGACAGACGTGTCATCTTGTTCGAATGCTTACACTTTACTTCAAAAATATGCGTTTAATAGTGCGTTTCTAAACATACAAATTCACATATCACACCTAGACTCGGAATAACAATGTGTGTATCACATAAATAGTTGACATTTTGTGATATTGAGCCCGCGACACGTTGCGCAGTAACCGGTTTACCCATCAGCCACTGAGCCATTCATGCAATCTGATTTAAATTAATGTTTTTTTGCGAAGTTGAACTTTTATCGAACTAAGTATAAAGAAACCAAAAATAGTCATTCACGTGAGCAAGTTTGATATTCTTCATTTTAAATAATATAATGCTTCATGTAATAAGTACCCATATTAGTAGATTGGGCCTAACTTCAAACTCCGTATATACGACCCGCGAAATTTACCAGCCATCGTAAGTTAAAACTCGGGACTCCGACGATCGAGGCAGTCTGCAGTAGTCCTTAATAATAAAATGTATTTGGTTCCATCCTATGACGGTAGACCTGGCGTTGATTGCATCCTGTGCAGTGACGTTAATAGCTCAAGTTGCTCACATTACCGCTAGACCAGAAATTACTTAATTGACATCTCAGACGCAAGGAAAGCTTGACACGGAGCTTAGGAATCAACTTCAGCTGGTCGCGTGTTGCAATGCAGGCGGCTCCGGCTCGTGCAGAGAGCGAGCTGACCCAAATATTGTAATGCGTGCGTCCGCGCACTGCCGACGCCGGCGTGACGCGCCCGATTTATTAATTAACTGCACAGATGACTGCGAGATGAGTTGCGCACACTCGCACAGTTACAACGACCTCACATACTGGAGCGGATCTTACGGGTATGACGTATTCAATGTAAGCATTCGGTAACCGCGTCAAAATGAACGACGTTTGTTACAAAATAATACACATTATACCGGACACACGGCGTGAGTCCGTGCGAGAATTTTCGGAAACTGGAAATTCAATAATATGTGCGACTATCGAGCATGGTCGGGAAATAGTTGAAAATTCGTGTACTTTTAGAAGATGTAGGATTTCTTTACATTTAGAAACGCTATCATTTAGACATGCCATTTGGTTCAGTGCCACGGAATAAATCTCCAAACCAAACCGCACAGCTACTAAAAACCACTCAATACGCAAATCAGGAATCCTGAACGGTCCTGCTTTGAAGGTAACACAGTATTCATTCTTGTATACGGCGGTTCCCCTAGTAATGCGAGCCACAAGACAAGACATGCTTAGTATTCTGTCCACATGTGACGTTATTGTTGTGTGTAAAGCCACAAGTGTAACCACAACCTGTGTAATGCCCACACCGCAGGGCGTGAGCTCGATACAGCCTGGGAGACCGCGGCCGTCTACGTGACACCAAGCGATTACTCACCATGGACTTTTGTTAGGCAACTCATTAAGCTCCACGAACTTATTTCACAACATTCCCGGAGGTTGCCGAGCCACCCCTAATTCCCATAAAAACTTAATGAAACCATGCACCAAAGCTTTCTCCGCCCATTGACGTCACAGCCACGCCGCACTTATTTTTTGTTGCAACTTTTGTTTCTTGGAAGTGCAAGCATTCCTGCGCCGTTAGTCAATGAGCCCGCGACAGGTCTGCACACGTTGCAACCGAGCGCAGCACGCAGGCTGCACAGTGCGCCCTGCAGGCCCACAGGTCGATGCCCTCCACACGCGACGCCGATGCAATTACCGCCCCTATATTCGCATATCAAACTATATAACTGCGAAAGATTATACCTATCTTCAAATCAAAACAATAATAATGACTTTTCTCAAAATTATTGAGTATTTGTGATGAACTTTAATTGAACGCTGCGGTCTGAGTCAGTCGATGTACTCGTTTCGTAGAAACAGAAACCTCTTGGACCGCGCGTGCTCATCTCGGAGATAGCACCCGGCAGCACGAGCGAGCACGCCTGCGTCACGTGCCAGCCTGGGAGCCTCCACACACTCGCAGCCACGTCGAGCCTGCTCTCTACTTACCAGAGCTTTGGCAGCTTTGCATGTGTGCGGTGCATTAATGACAAGGTGACTCACGCACTACCGAGAACCAAAATAAAAGAATTGAAACTGAATGGCTTTACAGCTTACTATTGGAGCTCATTCAATGTTGGTCCGCTGCAACACTTCGAACAATCACTTGCGATTACGAACAATACCCGATAGGTAAACAATAGATACCTACGCTGTGATAACAGTAAGTGTAACCGGTTTCATACACTTTTGCCAATGTTGCGAAATGTAAGCGATGTCACAATATTGTGTTGCTTATTGATAAGTAAGTAGACTAATCTGCTACAATATGTAGATATAATGAAGGTCCGCGATAAATCCTGTATCAACGCGCCGCGACACACTGACTGCTCTATAACCCACATCCTTGTACAACTTTTTACTTTTCACTACCAAGCAATAAACACCGTGACTAATGCATCGCCGGCGTCCTTCAATGGGTTGCCCATTTACGTATTGTTCGCATTGTTCCTTTACAGAGATCATTAGGAATGGCCGAGCCTTCCCGAAAGTGTTTACATGCATTGTTAGAGAACGGATGTAGCTCACAAAGATGATTGTGTCAAACGGATCTCTACCGCAGCTTCTCAGTAGTAGGGGGCGGTGTCTGACGCACTTAGCGCCACCCGGCGCCTGTGAAGCTTTTACGATGCTTCCTTTTACTAAAGATAATATATGGCACCGACAACAATTCTCACAACTGCACTATCTGCGTCACACCGATGCACAATGCATAATATTTGTGCCATTCATTGAGCCATTTCGGGGTTTCGTTATCTGTAATGAGAGACACCGACACTATTTCCCTTGGTTGTGTAATTTTATGAATAATTTGTTGTACTTGGTAATGCATCACTTGTCTAACGATAACAGCCGACTCCCACGGACTATGTACTTATAGCGTTTCATTAATTTGCAAACGACTTATTCATGTGGCGAGTGTTGCACAAAGTGGTATTCCAGTACTCAAACGTTAGCGGTACAGATACCTGTTGGATATTATTATGTGTAAAGATGGACATGTCGGCCATTTTAAAGGTATGTTAATAAGCATAAATTTGAAATATTATATACAAGCTGCCCAAGCGAACTTGGAACCTCCTCAAAATTAATTGACATTTTAAGCTTTCAAACCCTCCGTGGGCTCACAAGAATGTTTTAAGATCAAAATTATTAATATCGGCGGTGATGGTGGTTTAAGCGAGACAAACGAACAGCAATTCAATTTTATATTAATATATAAGATTTTAAAGAATACGCAATCGTTTATCGTTTATACTTAGAAAACTATAAGAAGCAGTCTCCGTAACAATACATGAAACACGTATTTCTCAAATAGATCATTTTTTTCGGATTTTTGAAGAAACGCCTAAGTTCTAAGCGAAATTAAGTTATAAGCATAGTTTAATGATTAACATTGATTTATTAAATGGTGTAGAATTAAGACGACTTGTGTTTCATTATCTCTTTCATTATACACATACAAATTGTCTTAGCGTCTAATCGTGGATGTGGTTATCACATTAAATTAACGATATAATTAAAACGTTGGTGTTTCTCGCTGTTGCCGCGCCATGAAGTAACATTATATTATAGTATTTATAGTTAGTGGCCAGCAGCCAGGCACCTAATCTAATCTGTAAATTTTTTTTTGAAGTTTCGACTTTATATCTATAAAATAAAGTAGAAAATATATTAAATAAATTTGAAGGAGACAATGAGTCGATTTGCTGACAACTGTAATTAAATTGGCCAGGAATGTTTGCGCAGGAGTTATCACAGTCTGACAGTTTGCGCAGGAGTTAACACAGTTTGGCTGTTTGAACCGTCTGTTTGCGCAGCGCATCAGTTCTAAATATTATTGCACTTTGCCCACTTCACCTGCATTGGTCACCTAGACTCAGCTACTACAACTTTGTGTTACGTTAAAGCACCTTCGCACCTATTAAAGGTACCACATAATGACAAGCTTCCAAAGCTTATCCCTCGTTCATATTAGTCGGTTCAATTCAGTGACTGCAGCTGCCTAAAATGGACCAAACACGTATGGTAATATCATCCAGGATAACTCTTCACTGATCTGCTATACTATACTATATTGGCTAAAGTGAAGATAGTAAGCGCCATTCAGACGTGAAAAAAAAACACCTATAACACAATTTTCAAATAACATTTGTATTTATCTAATATTATCTACTATTAGCCTGTTACGCGAATTAATTACAAATTATTTAATATTTAACTATGTATATAAATGGAGCTGTTACGATTACAAATGAATGATGTCATATGGAAATGAATGTTTATTTCCGATCGCAACAAACAATGTATGTGATTATCGATGAGATAAGCAGACAGCTGTATCGCGCCGCGAGGACTTTGCACATTATAAAGATAAGCAGAGATATACATCGATAAGCCGAGGCTCTGTCGTGAGTCACGCGCCCAAAGATTGCTATCAGAGGGTTTTCTGGTGGCTTGTATTATCTATACCTACTGAAGTAGTAATGACTGTACTCCATGATATTTGTTTACAAGTGTGGACATTGAGATATCAGCCGCATCCGCCAGCTGGATTATGACACGAAATTCCGATTTGCAGGTTAATTACCCGCGCCGTGCCTGCCGACCGGAACTGCCCGATATATGCAGGTAATGTAGCTCGCGCTGTAACTTGATTGCACCTACGTATGCACGGCGCACGTAGCAGGCTCCGACTAGCGGGCACATGACTCTGTCTCATTGAACAAATATCGACACAAACTGTTACTGAGTTTGTTACATAGCACCCACACATTAGCCGGCACTGTCCAGGATTTCTAAAGTCAATTCAAAAGAAGTAAGTGACGTAGTTTTCAGTAAACAATAAGTAATGCGGGTTATTTATTTATTTGAGTTGACTGATTGCGTGACATGTGTGAGAAGGATGCGGATTCGCCATTAGAGTAATTTGTTTGGAGCATATAATTGTTTGTTCAAGTCGGCGCGGCCGCATGTGGAGGGCGTGTGAGGCGCGGCGCGCGTCACGGCCGCGTCACGGCGACGTCACGCCGCACGCGCTCTACGTCACGCACGCACTGCGCGTCACCTCGAGAGCCCCCGAAGCAGGGCACAGTCCCACACAGCCACACAGCAGGGCACCGCCATGTGCGTACTGCGGGCATGGGTCTCACACACACACGTGCACAACCGACAGTAGCTGCGTACACACCGCAGCGGCTTGTAAACAATGCGTGAGTCGCGGGCGCGGGGCCGGGCGCCGCAACCTAACCTAACACTGATATTTGATTACAATAATGAACCCACACAATACCTATGTATTTAAACTAAATATTACGTACCTAACTCATTATATTATATCGATGCCTTTAATCCTTGATCAGGCTTTTTGATTTTCCATTTGAGACGTCGGTTTGTAACTAAAGTAAGGGCAATTGGTTATAGGTCCATTACAAGAAGGCGATGAGTCTGTCCCCCATTAAATAAATCAAATGTTACAGGTTGTGACAATACTAGTTGTTCGGAATAGATTGCTATTATAAAATATTAATCCTAATGTGGGTACTTCGTTATATCTTGATAACAAATATCTTATGGTGTACCCGCAAATTTAGATATATTTCAATAACGTCCGAGCCGAGGACTTCGCGGAGTCGGTTGGAATCGTTGATTCGGAACGTTCGTGTTGGTAATATCCTCCGATTCAATACTTTGGAGACGCGGACCGGGATTCCATACTTTTAATATTTTTTGTTGCTGCGCCCGCGCTTATAGTAGATTGTTCGCGAAGTTGGTATGCGCATAATTTCTGGTGTGAAGTGCCGGACGCTGGATCACAAGGTCAAAGAATTCCTTAAATATTCCCTTCACATTCCCTTAAGTAGGTCATCAATCCTCCTGTGTGTCCTCACGGGTACCCTAATCCCTATAGACCATTGACTGACTGACTGTGATAGCATCGAGGTGCACCAGTAGCAGTTTCGGTAAGTGGAACATTCACTTTATGTATGTAGGTATCGCGTAGGCTAGAACTTAACCTAGGGTTTTGTGTCGCCGGGCCACCGATCCCGCTGTTTTCGATACAAAAATTTGGTAGCAGAGCGTGGTTTTGGTTATTTTCCGCTCCGTAATCGGTTTTATATACTATTATAAATTATAAAAGTTAGGTTCTCGATACCTACATTACATATTTTTGCGTCTGCACATTGTAGGTTAGTTAACCTATATTTTTATGCACGCGGTAGTGCAAGTCATGCAACCGGTTCTTAAATAAATCTTTGTTCGTGGATAGTATTGATGACACATAATTTTATATAAGAAGTTATTCAGTATCGTTCGGCTGATCCGATAATTATGTCAAGGTTATTTATTGTTCTCGTATAAATAACTTAGTTTTATAACTATTTGAATAATAATTTGCTTAGATTATTTTCTTTTTGAATAGTATACGGTTTACGAATTCAATTAAGTTATTTACTTGCTGTTAATTAGCTAACATCACGCTTGTATTCCGCGTCGGGGTAGTTAGTGGCGTATCGTATACCTTATATAGTTGTAACTTAATTTTTTGTACTTTAATATAATAAATATGGCTAGTAAATCTAAATACACAGCCCGCATAGCTAGTGTGTTGCGATGGCTCGGCTCGGCCGTTTTAAACATTTCACGTCAGGATCGGGTTCAAGCATTATTATCCCGTTATGATTCTTTGGAAATGAAATTAACTGAGTTGTATGATGCACATCAGGCGATTCTCGAGTTGGGTCTTGAGTCGGAGGTGATGGATAAAATTAATGCTGATATTGATCAGGCGGATGATCTGGCGGACCAGATCCGTCAAGCCGTGGGTACCTTGAAGATGTCTTCTCTTGGTGAGAGACCTCCTAAGGTTGAGGAAGGAGCATCTCCAGCATTAATTAGTCGGTTGCCAAAGCTTGATTTACCTCATTTTGGTGGTGATTTGTGTCAGTGGGTGGCATATAATAATTTATATGAAAGCTTAGTGCACTCACGTAGGGATTTAACTCCGGCTCAGAAGTTGGCCTATTTGTTGGCCTCCCTTACTGGAGAAGCTAAGGGATTGGTTCAGCATCTGGATCTTGTTGATGGGAACTATGAGATCGCCCGGGATTTGCTTATGCGGAGGTACCAAA